CCTCGTCAGAAAGCTTAAACCTGCACGCGCGTCTCGGCTTCCAGGTGCTAAGCCGCGAGCAACTTCTTCAAATGCAAGTCGACGACAACTCATGTCAAGGAACGCAGCCCCCGCTGGAACAGGCACTGACTATGCATATGTTGAAGTCATGGCTTGTCCTGGCGGCTGTACTAATGGGGGTGGGCAAATAAGAATTGAAGATGCTAGGGAGGCCGTTCCGACTGCACTAAAAGAGCCTTTGACTGAAGCTACTGTGGCTGCGTCGAAACCTACGCCGCATGAGCAGCGCGCCTGGCTTGCCCGGGTAGATGAGGCGTATTACTCTGCGGACTCGGATAGCGAGGGATCTGTCACGACTGAGCCGGTTTCTGTCCTGTCAAGGGATACCGAGATTCATGAGTTCTTGAAGTATTGGTCGGAGAAGATTGATATACCCCTTTTCCAGCTGGCGTACACGTCCTATCGCGAAGTGGAGAGTGACGTGGGTAAGACGCAGAATGCGCCCAACGAAACTGCTCGTGTTGTTGAGTTGGCGGGAAAGATCGGAGGTGGTTGGTGATACAGCACTTGCTGTCTGGGAAAACATTGCATATATCATCTATACCCATCAATTTGCTGTTGAGGAGAGCGCTTTTTTGCATCGCTGGTTGCCTGCTACGCATTTGGAGAGATACCCTTTTATTATAGATTTCTCATTTGAGGTTTGTTGGGCATTTGGGAGGATTTATCAGTCATGAGATACGTATAAGAAGTTCCATAGACGTACAGATCAAGGTAAAGCATGCCACCATAGCTTTTTATACCATGGTCATGGATCAAACTCTTGGATTCAATACTTCGAGTGTGGACAGTAAAGTAGGGAGTAAACATGTGGTAGGTACCCGAGGTAAAGCCGCGCTAGTCCCGACTCGGTTAGCGTATTTTCTTCGAACCTTCCATCGGGATGACAAAGCAGCCTAGAGCATTCGGCAGAAAAAGTGCTCTATCCCAAGCCTGAACTCTCTCCAACTCGCCTTCAACCACTCTACATCTCGAGTTACACTCAAGCGATACCTTCGCCAGCGATATATTATTTGCTTGGGAGACGCCCTCGAACAAATCACCTCCGATCACCATGTCCCGCGAAGCTTATCAGGTCCCCTCTCTCGGCGCCCAAAATGCCTTTGGCACTGAGGGTATGACCGCTGGCTCGATGGATGGGCCTATCGTCGCCTATCTTTGCGGCGAATGCAATGCGCGCGTCTCCCTGAAGAGAGGCGACCAGATCCGCTGCAAGGATTGCGGTCACCGTGTCCTGTACAAGGAGAGAACGAAGAGGTGAGTCTATACTTTCGCGAAATCGAGATCCGTCCGTGTGCGGACGCTTGATTCTACTCTTGCTATGGGACGGTTGCTAATTCAGCTTTTATGAGTAGAATGGTCCAGTTCGAAGCTCGTTAAAGGACTCTGCACGACGAAGTGTTTCGAGCAAAGATTTGCAGGGCCTCGGCCCGTCTCGTCCTTTTTACGACAGTGATGTGCATTCTGTGGCGCTTTGGAGTTGGTTTTTTTGAAGTTGAGAACTGCGGGCATGCCTGATGCTCTGCAAAGGCGGCGCTGAGGACGACAGGCAGCAGATATTTTTTGGCAACATCCTTATACTATGATCACAGATGTTTTCAGTCCGATCCGATTCAATGCTAAAATATACCCCGTTCTGACGGTGTTGAATTTCCGTCACATGCAATATGCTCTCTGAGTAACCCACAAGTATTCCAAAACTTCGTAACCCAGTATATACCTGATCTATCCAACTTAAGCAGTCCCAGCAAAGAACTAAAGAAACAACCCCGAAATGGAAGGCATGAGGCATCACACATAACCCTGTGTCATCAATGGACAGTTTTGTTAAAGTCTGTTTGTGACTTCGATGAATTGTTCCAAACATTTAAGCGCCGAACCGCTTTCGACGGCCCATCTTGCTCGTCGAACACCCTCCTTCCAGCGACCGCCGCCCGGACCACGTTCGGTGATCACCTTGCCATCGTCACCAGGGCCCATGTTACTGGTGTCGGCTTCACAAAGACCCGAAATCACCAGGAGGGCGGCAACATTCATCAAGACGAATGTAAGGATGGGATCATCCGGAGGCAGCTCGTTTCGCAGAATACTCATGATCTTGGCTGCGTTTTCTTTCGGCATCTTTCTACCGTAGACTGCGCTCAGAGGGTGTGTAGGCAGACCGAAATCAGACGGGTGAAGCTGGAACGTTTCTATCTTGATCAGAGTCCGGGGGATATCTTCATTCTCGTCGCAGGAACACTCCTCATCGGCGCCTTCGTAGGCGGGATTGGGGTATTCCGTAAGTTTCCAGCAGTTTGTTGGACCCGCGCAACTGATTTCGTCCATGTCCTCCGCACCGCAGACAACAAGGGCCTTCTTCGCCCCACTGGTGCGCAAGGCTTCTGCGAACACGGGCCCCAGGCTCTGATAAGCCACACCAACCACTCTCGCTTCCAGCGCCCAGTCGACCGGGTTTGCCAATGGGCCCATTAAATTGAAGATAGTTCGCAGGCCCAAGCCCCGACGCACTGGATTAGCGTACATCATACCGGGGTGGAAATTGGGGGCGAACAGGAACGCGTAGCTCGTCGCTTCGTAGACTTGGGCAAGGTTCTCGGCAGTAACTGCGGAGATCTTCGGGGGAACGGGGGCGATCGCGTTCAGGACGTCGGCCGAGCCAGAGAATGAAGTTTGTGCGCGGTTGCCGTGCTTGGCCATCATAAGGAGCGGCGAGGCGATAATAGAGGCAGTCGTCGAAATGTTGAATGTTGAATGTGAATCACCACCGGTCCCAACAATATCACACTGGAACAAACGAAATTGTCGAATTAGCAAGGCAGTCAAGCTATCGGTTCCAATTTCAATCCACTCACCAGGCCGCCCCCATAGTTTCCTTCCTTCTTCCCACGAGCATTGACGACCTTTTGCAAAGAGCTCTTCTCTATCTGGCGAGCTGCCTCTCTCATGCGAAGCGAACATAATGCAATGACCTGAGCATCTCGATCTTTTGCAGTAGAATGCAAAAGAGTCAGAAGAGCGGCCGTCTGGATGGCCGATAGTCGATCTTCAAAAATCAATGCGAATGCTGAAGCGATTTCGGAGGCTTCAACCGGGACCTGGGAGGTGGGGTAGGCAAGTTTCTGAAGGAGGGGTGAGATCGAAACCTGATTAGGCTTCTGGTCAAATTCATGAGCTGACAACATGGTGACCTGAGTGAAGTTCTACCCTTCAAGACACTTGGAAATGACTCCAATTGTAAGCAGTGACAAAGGAAAGAGGGAAGTCGCAAAGCAGCCCCTCAGCTGGTATCCCCGGACGAGTCATCAGCATATGGCAGAATTCCACCGCCCATCCAATGGTCTATACCGAATTGGGAAAGTCAGCCATTGTTTCTTCCAGATTTTGGTTTCTTTAGAGAGATACGTGCTTTCAATAATTCATCGGCCAAGATTATCGGCGCCAACCATTGCGCAAGATTATTTCGCCCTGTATCTCTTGAGGGCTTCACAGATATCATCACACCCTCAGCTAACCAAATCCTACACTTCGATTCACGATGCCGCCCCGGTTACGACTCTCCAATGGACGCATTTCTCAGTCGTTCCGACGCCAGAGAGTCCTATGTCAATTCGAAATACCAGTCGCTGCTCGTTATGCAAGCACTGCAACCACAGCGACGACTCCGGCCGCATCTTTTGAACAGATGACAACTTCTATTCCTCCAATCGCTAGATATCCTCCTTCTCAGCCTCCATCTCATCGCAATCCCGAGTACCGACGATCACAGCTTCTCCGGCAATACACATCGCTTATCCGCACTACACCTCTCATGGTTTTTTTCCAGCATGATAACCTTCAGTCGGTGGAATGGACTGCAATCCGGCGGGAACTGAGCAAGGCCATGCAGAAGGTCGATGAAAAGATTGCCGCTGAGGGTCGGCAAGCTGCACCACTGGCGCCTCACATCAAGGTGCAAATCGTGCAGACCAGCATCTTCGAGGTCGCTCTCCGCATTGTCGAATACTTCCGCCCAGATGGGGCCACAGCGGCCAGTGCCAAACCTCCCAGAGCCGTCGACCCCGTTACACAGACCTCCGCCGAGATTCCTCTGTCGGGATCCAAGGATGACCCGGCTTTGACCCATGACCTCTCCCGTGCGGCCCATGACGCTGTGATGCACATGAAAGGCAAGCATGAACTCTCAGCGCTTCTCGTGGGTCCCGTCGCGGTCCTTTCTATCCCACAGGTGTCTCCTGAGCACTTGAAAGCCGCCATGTCGGTTCTTGCCCCCAAGGCGACCGGCTTCCCTGCTCCCACTCGCAGGGCGAACCCCGCGTGGCATGAACTCCCTGTCCAAAATGGATTGCAGAAATTGAGCTTGCTGGCTGCTCGAGTGGATGATCAGGTTTTCGATGTCGACCAAACGAAATGGGTCGGCAGCATCGAAGGTGGTATGGATGGCTTGCGGTCTCAACTCATCATGGCTCTGCAGAGCATGGGATCTAGCATTACGAATGCCCTGGAAGGCGCCGGAAAGAGCCTCTATTTCACCCTCGAGAGCAGGAGGAGCGTTCTGGAAGATGAGCAGAAGGGTCCCGAGGGTGACAAGAACGAATCTTAACGCCATAGCAAATCTTGTCAGGTCAGCCATGTATAATATTTCTTGTACTTATCTCAATTAGATTTCCTCGGAAAACCGCTCGGTTACATTTCTCCCAACTTGAATAGCATACCTTTGGTCAATCAGGATCCATTCCGTGCGATCAGTTATTGTTACTCCCACCTCTGCCCTCATACGGTGTAATTGATTCCCTCCCTACATATGAGTGCATGTATGAGTCTAAACTATCGACATATCAGAATAACCTATAAAAGCATTGATGGGAAATGATCAGCTGCATGGTCAGGCTGCTCAGGTCGGCGAGGGCACGCGTGAAAGCACAAATCAAGTATCGCCGTTAAGAGTGTTCCTCCTCTCTCATCTGTCTCATCTTCAGCTTAGCGTTCATGCCCACAATGCACCGCACAAGGTCCCAGTCGCCTTCGTGGCCGACCCAGTCCGTGACAAGAATGCCGGTCGACCAGTCACCGTCCTTATCGCTGTGTCTCCGGCAAAGATAGTCAACGGTTGCCGGGTTCAGCTTCGCTGCAACCTTCTCGGGCCACGTCCCGACCTTCCAGAAGTTGCTCGCACTGAGGAAATTAATATAAAATGGGTGCGCTTTGCTAGCTTCGGGATCCGGGAGGACACCGAACGGGTAACAGTGCCCGCCGGAGCGATCACAGTGTTCCGTTACATATTTGATCTTGACGTCGATGTTCTTCGCCTCGAGAACCTCGTAGAAGTCCTGAATACAGAGTTGACCGCTGCTGCAGGTTGCGCTTGGAGTATTATCTGCCCAATCGCTCCCATCGATGCCCCAGCCGCGGCCGTCGTGCTCATTCTTTAGCTCTTCTATGATGTTGAACCGGCGAAGCAGGACAACTTTCCCGCGCACCTCGCCCAGAGTAGGGATTTTGGGCTCTGTGTACCACCGGCTATCTGGACGAGCATAATGGTCGCGCAAAATCCGACTAAGTTGTTCGTCCGTATGATTCCCTGGGCCTTCTCGCTTCAGAGAGATGATGAGCGTCTCAGATGGGTTTTGGTCGAGGAACTCATTGACCTCGTGCATCAGATCGCGAAAGTACTTGTTGCCCGTCAAGGAGATGGGGAACACGCTGTGCACTAGGACAAGCTCGTCCTTGGACGGGTCTTCGAGAAACTGAGGCTGCACACGGATGTCGAAGAAGCGAACACCATTTCGGAGCTGTTCGCGTGGACTGACAGCTTGGCAGCGAACAGACGGGGCCGCAACATGGCACGTAGGAGAATTGTGTGTTCCTGGAATGGACAGCGAGGAGAGCAACGTGCTATCTTTGAGCTCTCCCATCCACGCTTGCAGATTGGCCGAGGAGTAGATTGCAAGATGGGATTCAGGTGTCACGTAGACGCCAGTGAAGCGAAATCGAGGATTATCGCACAACGCCTTCATTCCGGCAGACTCGGTCGTAGGAACCGGCGTCTGAATTTGATGACGCTCTCCCTCGGTTTCAAAGCTCCAGCGCAGGCGCTCTTTGTCCGAATCAATGAATGTACGAAGTTCTGTCTGAACTGTTTGGAAAGGTTCCACATGAATATCAACCTCCTCGTGAGCAAATGGTTCATTGTCATCCGTAATCGCGGCGACAGTCTCATTGGTGCGAGTGACATTACTTAGAATTCGAGTGAAATTCCTGGCCAAGAATTGCATGTCATCTCGAGGATCCTTATGGGGGTGAAAACGCTCAATAAGCTTGAGGGTTATCGGGGTTGTGGTGAGGTTGCGAATGGTTAAATGTTCGGCCACCATTGTGTGCAGCAAGTCGGTGCTCAATTGAACGGTCTATCAAGTACAGCGGAAGCCAGTCTTGGAATGCAAAACATGAACTAGATGGATCGGAGAACGAGCAGGGAGTGAGAAAGAGAATACTGCCGCCTGCTCTCCTCAAACCTCAGGGATGCTTGGCCGTGACAGGGCTAGATTAGGTTGCACCAATGATGGTTCGATCCTCCGCAATGCGATCTCCCAGTCCCACGTCCATAATGCCGGTAGCTGGAACCCTAAGGTTCATCTCCAAGACAACATCAACATTGTCTTCGGATAACAGGTACCTTTACTCGCTCTGAACTGGAGAGTGAGCATTGAACAGATAGCAATTTCACTGCCGTCCAAAGTCAGATACTCAGAGACTCTCGATCACAGCATAGGCGAAATGATGGTGGTCGGTTTTTATCGCTCACTGTCGTATTCAGCTCCACTGCGCCGAGATAATGGTGGGGTTTCACAAATTGAAACCAGAGGGGAAGTTAGACTAGGCTAGTCGTCGAGATAAAAACCTCGACAATAAACATCATCGTCGCTATTTTTGCATACCAAATATAGCTCTGCTTGATGATGAAGAAAGCACTTATATTCGGTTGCAGAAAATACCACTTGCTGAACCCGTATGCCCTGCTCTAAACAAAGGAGCACACAGTGAACGTTGTTTGACGCTGGACTTGAGTTGAAGCAACTTTGAACTCAGCCTGATTGACTCGCAAATTCCAGTCAAATTCAATCCAGTCACAATCTTTTGCTCATACAGGGAGGAAAGGATGAAGCCGAGCTGTTCATCCAGGTACCACTGTCTGTTGAAGCTCTCAGCAATTGAGTCCGGATGAAGAGACGGACCGAACTACGGAGTATTCGCTTGATAATGCGGAGTAAAATCACGTGGGGTGACGCCGTGCTCGGTTACTATCGGCGATGGGGAGCAATAATGCGGAGAGACCCTGTGTAGTCCTCCTCCTACTAATAGGGACAATTCCATGATGCCTCGCAGTTTTCTTCTTTGGAAAACTACCCTCTTTGTTTATTCTCGTTCTTCAGTTGCTTCATAATCGACTATGAGCTTTTTGCGCTGCAACAGAGGTGTTCTGGGGGCTCTCAGGTCTTCTCGGCCTCAGAGGATCATCCCAACCACCTTATCGTCAAAAATATCAGTACCTCGACGGAAATTCCACGCTGCATTACCTTTGTGGGGCATAAAATCTCAAATACTGAAGGATGTGGGCGAAGGTATATGCTCTTCTATGCAACCTCCCCTGTCTGTCGTTCAATTGCTCACCCGGATTCTCTACGCAGGGATCACCGAAGTCCAGATCATTCAGTGGTATGTCGAGGAAGGCGCTCACATAGAAGAGTGGAAGCCACTGTGCCAGTATCAGTCTGATAAAGCAGTCGATGATGTGAGGAAAATTCCTCTATCCCGCTATTTACCTATCTGACAATTTACGAATCTAGATAACTTCGAGATACGAAGGAGTAGTCAAGAAGCTCCACTTTCAAGCAGATGACACTGTTCCCACAGGAATGGTACGCATGATCTTGTACAATTGGGAGACGAAAACCATCCGCGTCTAACATTATGCTCTTCTCAGGCACTTTGTGACATAGAAGTTGAAGACGGCAAATACCCAGATGACCACACGCCCACTGAACCCAAACCCGAGCAAGTGCGGCCAGCTCCCGTTACTGCAGATACTCTCCCTGTACAGCCAACAGCATCGGCTCCGCTGCCCTCTTCGCAAGTGAATGAGACGGCTGTTGAAACCCCAAGGTCAAAGTATGCCTCTCTCGCTACCCCAGCAGTCCGTGGGCTGCTGAAGACTTACAACGTTGATATTCTTGATGTCAAAGGGACGGGGAAGGATGGTCGTGTCCTCAAAGAAGATGTCAATAAATTTGTTGCCATGCGCGACGCACCAGCGCAAACGCAAACGCATCCTGTGGCACCTGCCAGTCAGCAGACAGAAACCACGGTCAACTTGACACCGATTCAATCTCAAATGTTCAAGACCATGACCCGCTCTCTCACTATCCCGCACTTCCTCTATGCTGATGAGCTCAAGATCAATGATATTACAGCTTTGAGGAAGAGGCTGGCATCTGACCCCAAAGATCCCAAAAAGGTCACCTTCCTCTCGTTTGTCATCAAGGCTGTGTCCCTTGCTTTGAACGAATATCCGCTTCTTAACGCTAAGGTGGACTTGAGCAATCCTGAAAAGCCCAAACTGATTATGCGGCCGAAACATAACATCGGAGTCGCTCTGGATACTCCACAGGGCTTGATCGTCCCGAACATCAAAGATGTCGCAAACCGGACAATCATGGAAATAGCAGCAGAAATCAGGCGGCTAAGTGCACTGGGCAAAGAGGGTAAACTCACACCCGCTGACCTCAGTGGTGGCACGATCACTGTCTCAAACATTGGTAACATCGGCGGCACCTACGTTGGCCCGGTGATTGTACCAACTGAGGTGGCTATTCTGGGGGTGGGAAAATCAAGAACAGTGCCAGTCTTTGATGATGCTGGTCAGGTCACGAAGGGCGAGCTAGTGAATTTCAGTTGGAGTGCAGACCATAGAGTTGTGGATGGGGCAACTATGGCAAGAATGGCCACCAAAGTTCGCGAGTTTATCGAGTCGCCAGAGCTGATGCTTTTGAATTTGAAATAGAGCAAGAGCAGTTCTCCCATCACAGTGATACCAGGTTTTAAAATATAGTACTTATAGAGTTCACCTGACAAAGCGATTGAAGGTCAACAGGAATTTTGCTTCCGGGTCTGTGATTGAGCCATCAACACAAAGTCCTACTACTGTGTTCAATGAAGAGTTGTTTATCCCAAGACCGTTGGTAGTGAATTGTCATTCACATTTGAACTCGGTGTTTGGATTTCCTTTGTTTGTTTGCTCAAGCCTGCGCGCTGGCGTCAACAACCCCTCCTCATAGCTCTCAGCCTCTCACTACTCACCAACCTCTAACCTCTGATTTTCTCCTTTGTATTCTCCTCCTTTCACTTGATACTCCTTGCACTCCTCTTGCACTATCGCCGCTACTGTGTGAGAAGAAGTGTAGCCCTCAGTCTGCCTCGTAGTGCCTGTCTCTGTTCCTTGATAGTGTCACCGAACTGTCAAGATGGGAACAAGAGGACTTCTCTTTATCCGCTGCCGTGGCAGATACTTCGTCATTTGGAATCAGTTTGACAGCTATCCTGAGGGTCTCGGAGACGCTATTGTTCATGAAATACCCACCGATCCTGAGGGCTACCGCAGTAAGAGAATGCTATGCATCTGGGAGTCGTGCACACCGACTGACACATCTGTTCTCGCTAGATTGGCTAAATTCGATGAGGGAGATGTATTCTCGTTCTGCACAGAAGTTCGAAGATCAAATACTCACGGTGGATGTCAATATCGAGCAAGACGATCTTAGCATCAGTGAGCGTCATGCAAAGAGCTACCTGGCTGTCGATGACCGCCTTGAATATGCTCCAATTCAGACGATCATGAACAGATTCTCGAATGACCTCTTCATTGAATGGACTTACACCATAGACCTTGACCGTGAGATGTTCGCTGTTGATGATGCCGCATGCTTCAAGCTGTCCAATATACCACATTGGGGACAGTGGATCCGATATCTCTCTGAGGACGCCCGACAGCGCAGAAAGCTGCGTGACAATACACCCAGGGACATCATTGCTGATATTTCCTGGAAACCGAACATCGATCCCAACTATAAGGTTTTGGCCCAAGCTCTCAACATTGAACTTCTCTCGCTTACCGATTTTGCTGCTGAAACTATGCTCCCACTGGACTTGGATGCCGCCTCGCCCTCCACTGCTGTCAAACAAATGATGCCTGCCCGCATCAACTTTCTGATGACCACGTTTTTGCAGATGAGTAGGGCGTATCGGAAGGTTCTTGATCGCTTTGTCCTTGGGTGGGAGCCCAGCTGTTTTATGTTCAGGGAAATGGCGTTCGCTGTGCTGTCGCTCGCAGCTGGAGAAGCGTTCTTCGAATACCCTGAAGTCCTCAATGCGAAGTACCGGACAGATGGCTATTACCTGCTTCCGAATTCCAAGGCTCCAAAATACCATACGAGGTTGCTCCCGCGATTCTTACATGAGAGTCACCTTCCCGGCATCGAGCCTGGATCAGCACCAAAAAGCACTAGCTTCTGGTTTCACAACGTTCTCGTTCATCTCAATTCTAGACTTGATTTCAATGATGTCGAAGAAGCATCACTGGTAGCGGTGGTAAATGATGGACTCGGTCAAGGATACGAAGAGTTCGATGCCATGGTACTCTCGATTCTAGACGTTGTTCTGATCCGCGTGCAGAAGGGACGTGGCGGAAAGCCATATATCAGAAGGTCTCGTCTCATGCCTCTGTTTGAGTTCACTGACGAGAACTCTGAATATGCTCATGGGCCTCGTACTCGCCCCTCTCAGTCCCAGCAGGGTCTCAACAAACCAGATCGTCACGACATCAAACCGGAAGAGGATGATGCTTCAGAAGAGGACGATGCTGCTTCCAATAAATCAGCGGAGCCAGCTGCAGCGGGTTATTTCACCTTCATGCTAATGTATCACTTCTTCAATGCAGCTGCAGTTAAGAGGCTTGCTGGTACAGGGTCTCTTCTGTTTCCGAATGAGATCTTGTCATTGATCATGGACTTTTCGGATATGCCTACATATTTGGCCCTTGCACAAGCATCTGCTTTCTGCCACGAGATAAGTCATCACAAGCTCCGACTGAACGATGACTACGCTGTGATCGGGAGTGGCGAAGATCCTGAGACCTTTGTCCTAGAAGACTTGCATTCAGGGAAGAAGACCCATTCTAAGCTCAGCATGTACCAAGAGAATTGGCTTGGCCGCGCAATCACAGATGGACTTAAATTGTGTCCTGTTATAGGCGTCGCGGATCCAGACAGACTCAGTATCATGGATGACGTGGCCATTCAGTTATCGGACGTGACGCCAAAGGATCAGAAGGATCCGATGTTGTCTGAGACAGAAGAAGGTCCTTCCCGGTAAGTGGTACATCTCATTTGTAATTTGTTAAGGAAGCAATAAAGCTGATATGTCGTAGAGAACAGTACGGCTGGTCTTTCCCTCCGAACGAGAGAGATGGTGATTTGATTTTCAATCTGCCTAGTTATGCGTATCTCGGTGCTGTCGAGAACGCTTGGGGACAATACCTGTCCAAGCTAGCAAGAGACGCTGGTGATCCCCACTCAAGGTTCTTCAGTACTATGCTCCGCAACAGACTGTACCGCTGTCTTCTGCCCCCTGGATACCGTGAATTAGGCATGGAGCCCTTCCAGTGCAGTGGTTTTCACGCATTCTTCCGCCATGAGCGTGATGAAACTCTAGAAGAGTGGGAACGGACTCTTCGGTATGTCGTTCGCCAGCTTTCCAAACTTGAAGCTCGCCCCAGGGATAGGTTCCAGAGATGGGGCCATCCAGTCATTGTGGCCTTTTCAACAAAAGTCAAATTGTTCTACTATGTCTTTCATCGTGAGGTCAAGCCTGCGATTTGCTTGAATGCGAAATCATACACGGTTGAAATCGGTGCCAAGTGCACTGACCCCGACCCTGGCAGTCGGCTTGTCCAGCTCATTGCCGGAGACGCCCCAATTGATCTGAAAGACGATGATGGCAGGATGGAGTTTGAAAGCTGGATCATATCTCTCTGTAAAAACAGCTCACTACAATACAATCCATTCACCGAACAGTTTGAGCGGGACGCTGAGGTGGATGGTGGGGAGGACAATGGAGAGGACGGCGAAGAGGGCAATTGGGACGACCAAGGAGGGGACGATGGAGACGATGGTGAAGGGGATGGCGAAGATGACAATGGAGAAGACGATGAAGGGCTCGAAGATTATTGACGCACAGGCGGGAGTCAGATTGAGTCAGCCATGTTGCTTCTTTAATAGCTTGATGCGACCCCACATAATTCCTTGCCTATCTGTTCAGCTTCTTGCTGTCTATCCTGCTAATATCATCATATCAGTCTCTTCTTCCGTACACCGTCCTCTGGAAGTCTATACATCGCTAAGAGAAATGAATATTTGTTACCTAGATGGATGAATGAAACCAGCAGGTTATGAGTATACTGGACAATGTGGAATGTGTCAATTGACTATACATAGCTAACGGGGGGGGAAAAGAATATCAAAAACATACAACAGCCAGCATTCGCAGGCGTGTGTCCTTAACTACCTAGACTTCAACACGTAAATAGAGATCTGGTACATTACATGCAATTACACCTAACCTTTGCATTTGCATTACAGCACAGGGCAAACCTTGAAGAGGAAAAAAGCCCGCCCCAAGACCCCAAGATGTTCCAGGAGTGCACCATAGGTATACATAATACCAGTATAAAACAAATGAGGTTGCGGTTTGTAGAGTGATGAACTTTAGCGCTTGAGGAACTTGATAGCGTCCTTGACCTGTTTAATCAATCTCTCTTTTGGCTCACTTGGTAGCAGCACAAAGTACTTGAGGTCATGATGCAGGCTATCCAGATCGAAGCGGAAATTGGATCAGGGAACAATTAACCTTGGGTTAGATCTCTGCAGGCCCGCGGGCGGCCCGGCACGGGCTCTAATAATAGGGTTGGGGCCGACCGGGTCCTCTAGCTGCATGCATGCAGCGGATGACAGTAGATATGACATGTCACCACTCTGCTTTTTTCCTTATCAGGTTGTCTGTGACATATCCGAGGTCTGCCCAGGGAAGGGAAGACTTAGACTTCAGATTCTGTCTACAGCCTATCTACGGAGCCCTCGGTTGAGAAAGGGAATAAGGCACAATAATTCCTGCTTTATTGATTGATGTCCCGCCACCTCCTACATGAGGTGGGGGTATTTTCTCCCAAACTTGCCTAATGCAAGAATCGTGAAGATGAATTTGTAATTCGGATATGTGATAGCACAGCTCTTGTTGAAGATGCCTTCGATACCCTCCTGTAGCCATTCCCCGTTGCGCTTCTGTCTAGACATAATCAAGCGAACTCCACGGTGGATTGGCTCAACATCGGGGTAGTCGACACTCAGGAGTGCGATGACAGCGAATGCCGTTTGGACAACTTGAGACCCCATAGAATGCTCGATATACATCATTTGTTCGCAGCTCTGAATTCGTTAGTTCTCGGATACCTCTATCGAAGCATAGGGGTAGTGGCTTGTGAGATAAAGTACTCACCTGAAAGCTTTCTGACCATCCACCATCCTCTCGTTGTTTCGAAAGCAGGAACTGGCACCCCCTGCGGACAGGTTCACTGTTCTCATAAGTCTCCCCCACCGATCCCAGGCATTCCAAAGCAAACATCGTGCCATACGTAAAGCATACTCCCCAGCTTCCATACCAACTGCCATCAGGACGTTGCGCCCTCCTGATATAATTCACTCCCCGTTGGATAAATGCCTGTACCTCTCCTTGCCTATAGTCAGGCCAGTGTTTGGAGAACAATATCAAAGCCGTCAGCACAGCGCTTGTGCACTCAGTATAGTCATATTCAACCATAATGCGTCCAAAGACCTCTGCTGTATTCAACATTTCGAGGTATTCACTTCCCCTGGTCGGCTCATACGACGCACAACCGCCCGACGGGTTTTGATACGTGAGCAAGGTGTCCACGGCATCAAAGATCCTTTGGTC